AATTAATCTCTTTTATTTTTAGAATTGATGTTAGCAGCGCCATCTCTCTTTAAATATATACATATAATAAAAATGATGATAACATGTTGTGTATCTTTCTGTACATTGTATATATATTTTGGTGGCTAAAATCATTATGGGGAACTGAAAATAATTAAATAAGAACATTTTATAATTTTTAGAATTGTCTGTCTGTCTATTTGTCTGTTATTATATGAACACATCACATCTAAAGTAAACATCTTTTATTTTCAAAGAAATCGTTAAGAAAATCATAAAGCGTATCTTCGAGTTACATTTAATCTTTGTTTTATTAAAATTGGTTAATTCTATCGAAAGTAATGATTATTATTTTGAAATGTAGGTTCGAATTTGTTCAATGGCGCCATAAAATCTCAGAAATAGTAATAAAAAGATTTGTCTGTAAAAAAAACGTTCCATAATAATTAATATATTTATACTTAAAACATAAAAAGAGATTTAAAAAGGATGTTTTCTCACACAAAGGACGTAATAGATGGAGTTGTACAAATTACAAACTTTTCTGAATTGCTGTGTTGAGATTTTTCGCCGATGAATCGTATTGAGACTTACTGAAGAAATTTGTATCCATCGAAGCCATACAACGGAACCCGACCAAAAATAAAAATTTTGCAACGAAATGTTGTGATATTGTATTTATAATATACGCAAAATCAGTACTGCCATTTTAGCGCTTTGGAATGTATAGCGCGCATTTCGAAATTTTAGCACCTAGCTTAATCCAGCGTTTTTTGGTGTATTTAGCACACATTTCAATATTTTAGCGACTAGCGGGTTATTAACTCTTTTATAGCAGCACTGTTAGTCCACATTACCGATAATAATAATAATGACCTTTATTATTTTTTCCCACAAATAGTACATTGCAGTTTATCTTTTTCAAACATATTTTTTCCACAAAACAAAGAGCATGGGAGACGAGTCCAAACTAGGATACCCTGTGCTATGGATCTCCTGGCTACCCCTTTAGGATGATCAACTTGATTTTTTTACCGACGACTATAAGCGGGGAAATCCCCTTTATTAAAGTTTTCGTTCATGATTTTGGCAACGCATTTATTTTGCTTTATTCAGTTTCAGTCAGTTGCTTAGAGCACAGCTAAGTTAAAAGTTACTTAGAAGTTATAACACAAAGAAATTGTGAAGCAACCGCAATCAGATGCTGACATCTGAAACTAAGTTGCGAAATACATTGCACTTTAAAACAATGACATTTTTATTGTTCGTACAGTACTAACTACTGTTGACAGCAAATGCCATAATTATAAGTCGATGTCCTGCGAAGTATTGATTTTTTTTTTGGAGTTTATGGCCTGGCATCTAGACCTTTAGGCCAAGCGAAGTATTGATACATCAAAAAAATATTGCCAGAAAAAAAACTTAATGTTGTTTTTTTTATTATGATTATATAAAAAAACACAAACTTTGTTTGTAGTTAATTTAGCGCGAAATCTAGGGCTTTTTTAAAGCGCTGTTTTCATGAAATCTAGCGCTTTTTGTGTTGTCCTAGAGCTGAATGAGTTTTTTTTTATCTGGCAGCACTGCCCAAAAACCCTCTATTAAGAAGTAACTTTCCTTTCAGTTTTAAGCGCGTTCAGTTCCCAGTTACAGTGAGCGTGTGTTATGCGATGACCGTAAATAAAGGTCAAACTTTATGCGTTGTAGGAGTTTTGCACATGACTGACTGTTTTTGCACATGGCCAACTCTATGTTGCTTTTTCCCGCGTTAGTAGCCCCCGTAACCTTTTTGTGTACACCCCGGCTAAGCCTACTTCTAACGTCGTTTACACAGAAGCTCTATCATAAACGACTTAAAACTTTCATGATAATGATTTATTTAGTTACCACTTATTGATACAGTAATGAAATAAATCGTTTAATATTCTCTTACCTAAACGACAAATTCTTTATGTAAAAACTGTATACGCGAGCTACGCCGCGGGCACAGCTAGTACTTAAATATTTTTAAAGTTCTTGCTGGGACAGGGTGGGGAATACATCCTAAACATTAATTTGTAAAGGCTGTATATTGCTATTATAAAGAGTAGACTTGATTACGGAAGTTTTTTTTTTACGATAACAGCTGGCAAAAGTATGTAAGTAAGCTAGATAAAGTGCAAAATCAAGCACTGAGAGTAATTGGAGGTTTTATTAAAACAACTCCTATACATGCAATGGAGAGTGACTTGATCTCCCTCCATTGCACACACGTTATTAGGAGGTAAATTTTTTTTAAAAGCTAGGTCTCGAGAAAACAATATTATGGAAATGCTACGGTAATAATGGAAACGTCAGAATTTTATTTCAAAATAGACCGTACAACTAATACGCTTAAAACAACTACCGACTTAATAAAGAAATACTGCGATAAATTAAATCTCGACATGAATTTGACAATACCATCATGTGCCAAACCACCGAGGTTGTATGTTTTACCGAAAATACACAAACCAAACACTCCATGACGTCCCATAGTAAGCCAGATCGATTCAACTTATAAGTTGGCTCAACACTTGGCAAAAATATTGTCACCCCTGAGAGGACACACCAGAGCACACACAAAGGATTCCTACCATTTTGTTAGTGAGATAAAAGACCTACATCTCGCCGACAATGAAACTATGGTCAGTTTTGATGTTCACTCACTACGCACACATGCTTACCTATTAAAGACTACATTTTAATTGTAACTAGAAAGTTAGTAGATAACAACATGCCTACAAAATATGCAGTATTACTCAAACAGAATATGGAAGGAAGAGTTCTACAAGCAAGTAGATGGTGTGGCGATGGGCTCGCCTGTATCTCCCCGTATTCGCCTACATATTCATGGAGGACTTTGAGGAGAAAGCCCTTCTTACTGCTCCTGTAAATCCAAGATTCTACAAGCGGTACGTAGACGATACTTTCACAATTTTACCATCTGACAAAGTAACTGCATTTTTAGACCACCTTAAGTCAATAAACTCTAAAATACAATTTACAATGGAGTTAGAGGCAAACAATTCTTTAGCTCTCCTAGGTGTTTTAGTCATCCAAAATCTTTAGCCATCCAATAACACTATTGGACACACTGTGTATAGGAAAAAGACCCATACCAACCGATATTTAAATGGTGAATCGCACCATCATCAAGCACCAACGTTCCGGGAAGTCTGCAGTGTGTGAATATGTTCCAGATCGTCCCCACCATTACATTAGATTTAATAGACCACGAAGCCTCGCAAAAGAACACCGATTCCTACCAAGGTTGATTCGCGAGGCTATTGAAATTAAAAAACATCCTAATTTCAATAGAAAAGATGGATGGGTGCTACCATCTGCTTGGGATCCTATAATTAATAAAATTAAATCCAAATCCAAATTTACCACTGCAAGACTTCAAGATCTTCAAGAAGACGTTAAGCACCTCAGTTCCCTGTGACTATGGGCGCTGTAAAGACCCGAAATGTCGGGAATTAGAAAGTTAAATTAAATGCGGTAAAATCCGTAAAATATTGTTTCATTTAATGTGTAGTCTTCATGTAAATATAAGAAATCATTATGTGAGCATACTCATTCCTGGATTGTGTTTTAAATCTGACCTTCAATTCTAATCATTTCAATCTATCAAGTTACAGTGGATTCCGTCACACTGTAGCATTGAATACAATGAACGGGTAAATGTTTGGCTAGACAAGCTATTACTGATGAAATTGAATTATTATACAGACTGCATTTGATTAATCAGAAAACAATGCTACAAATAATGAAAGGAATATTTTGATTTACACTCTAAAGAAAGAGGTATCTGGTATAAAACGGTCCAGCCACATCCCCTCAGAATTCCATGGATTGATAGTCACATATCACCAAGAAAAGACGCAGTAGTGATTATTAGGCTGCATTCTGGACACATTCCATCCAGTTAAATAGAATCCAGAATAAAGACCCGTCATCGAACTGTGAACAATACGGTATTCTAGAGGACTTAATGCATGTCTTGATGGCAATGCTGCCTTTCGAATAATATTTTAAAGGAATATGCTGATTGTAACATTATTTTATCCAATCCTCATTACGATGAAACAAAATTATTGGTTAAATTAGATAACATACTAGTCTCCTCAGATCAGTCAACTAGATAGTACTTTTTTCATTTTTGTTTGCTTGTTAAATTGAACGTTATTTAGTTCGAAAAGATGTCAAATAGAATGACATAATCACATCTTGATTAAGCTTTTAAAATAAAGATGGATATTATACATGACCTTTGTTTTATCCATGTTCATCTTAAGACCTACCTGTTGCGAGACACTATTGAGGTCATTGAGCACAGTGCAGTAGTGATGACTATATCGTAGGTAAATCGAAGGTGCCTCGCCATTCATATTAATACTTTCTTTAACAATCCCTTTTGAGTTCAGTAGCTTGAAAATATCTTCCAATGCAGTAGTGAGGACTTCTGGGGATATAACATCATTCTGTTTTACACCTCTCAGCTGTTGGAAAGGTTTCATACTCTAGTTCTGTACTATGATATCCATTGTAGCTTTACTGTACAGACACTTCAGCACTTCGATATACCCACAGTCAACTTGGCACCTCTGAAGGGACAGTAACACCACCTAAATTTTGTTGGAATCAAAGGCCCTCATAGTCCACACACACAAAGCAAAGTGGCAGATTGTACTCTTCACAGCCAAAGGCAAATTTTAGCCAATCTTGAACTAAATTTCTTAAGGTTTTTATTCCTTAAGGTTGTAGCAAAAGCCGATTAATCGGCTTTGGCCAAATATCAACCTTCAGTCATCACTAATTATTTTCAAACATATTTTATGTATACATAATACACCTATTACATTATATTACTATGACCACAATTGACTGGGAGAGATTGCCTGAAAGCAGTTGCCCTTTGTAACCCTTTTGTTAAACAATACAGTATAAATAACTATTTAAATAAATAGATAACTTACTTAAAGCAGGAAAATTATCCTCTGTCACACCCGTACCATTATCAGAAACTTCTATCAAATCAATGCCATAATTTTTGAGCCTTATGTCTATTTTAGTAGCACCAGCATCTAATGAGTTTTCTACAAGTTCTTTTACTGCTTCTGCTAAGCTGAGTATGACCTAAAATTTTATTAAACTACTTGATCGTTCATAAATAAAACTAGTTGCAATACCCGGCATAGCCAGGGTAAATAATAAAAGATCTTAAAATTTCCGCCATCCACAACAGCCTCCACTACCAGATCCACTTAGAATCAAAGAGCAATCTAAGGCGCTGTGTGGTTTTGAAGAGAACTAGGAGTTCAGAAAATACCTCTTTATTTTTGTGTAAAAATAAAAGCATATATTAATCAGATTGTTTGTGAATATTATTAATTATTATATTGCAACCCATCTAAAATCCACTGCTGAACATTTTGCCAAAGTAAAAGGGAGAGTGGATTATCATACGCCGCCACTACAAGACGTACCTGGTTTTCCCCGAGAGGTTCGGGTTCGATTCCCAGTATCAGAATAATAATATGTTGATAGATAATCCATCAATTTTTATTTATAAAAAGAGGAAAAAATTTACATATATGAGTGTTTTTAAATAAACATTACCTGACCAGAGCAAATTTTATGAACAGTATCAGTATTGATTGGTTTAATGACATTTATTCTTTCATTATTTTCTATATCGCATTCGCTATTCATCTTAAATAAGTAAATGTTTAAAAAAATAGAAACGTTAAAAGTTAATCAAAATAATAAGTATAAAATTACAAAAGACAAGTTCATATAAATAAACCCTTTTTTTTATAACTGGCTTTACGGCTCTGGGTTCTAGCCATTCTGAGCCCGAAGTTAAATTATCCTTCATAGTACACTGCTTCACAATATGTTGATGCGTCACATTGTGTAGTACTTGGGAGATTTTGACGGCAACTTGAGGTCTTGAGCTAGCAGAGAGCTGACCACAGAACACTATTACGCCTAGCTAAGCAGACAGACACCTTATCTTGAGAATCACATCACCATCAAAGCACTTGTTTCACTGTTTCCACTAATAGTTCACATGCGCTGATACTTAATACACAAAATCGCACCACTTTTACATATCAAAATCTACCTTAAATCATTATTTAAACAATAATATAGAAGCAGGAAACCGCCGTCGGTCAAGTTCCCGCCAAAACTCCAATAAACACTATACGGTTCCAAACATAGGGTACGTTTTGCTTTGTATAAACCGAAATCAAAGAGAATATAATCGGTACGTTTAAGAATCGGGACTTCCTAAGAAAAAGTAAACGTATGAAAGGGCGCCAAGCTCATTGATATAAGAAAATATTTTTCTTATATCTATGGCCAAGCTACTCTACCAACATCATGAAGTTATAGATAAAGATGGAGACCACACTCCGAATACCTACTTGAAGCTCAACCTATGTATTACTGTCTCGCTCTCTGTGGGCAGACCCTCTCTTTCTAAGTAGGTAACCTTTATTTTATTTTTCCGAGGATATCGCTATAAGATGTTTTATTACATTAAGTGGTTTATTTATAAATATTTACATCTCTGTTTACTACTAAGACTTAGCCTATATAGATTTTATATATATATATATATACAACGTGTCCCAAAATTCAACGATAAGCCAACACCGGAGGATAGACCTGCCCCGGACTAATCGGGTAAAAAAAGAAAAAAAAATATATACCAATTATATTTTAAGTTATATAAAAAAAATGAAATTCTTCAGAAATTTAGACCGTTTATGATATTTTTCACTACCATGACCACAATTTTTTAAATATTTTTTCTTTTTTTTTATAGGCAACCTGAATAGTACTGCTATCTACCACAATTCTTAAAAACTCCAGAATAACTCTTGTTTTATCACGAAAATTAATGAAACTTATTTTATTCCCTAAATTTTTTGAAGACTTTTACTTTTAACCAAATTTAACTTATCGTGGTGTAAAAAAAAGTATGAACACTAGTATGGCAAGTTTTTTTAAAAATTGACGCAACTAACCAATATTCCAAAATGGTATAATACTCTAGGAAAACAAGTTATAAAAAAATATGGGCCTATTATTTCTTAACAGGGGCCAAATGACGGTCGGGTGTAATAAAAGTATTATTTCTTGAAAAATGTTTAATATTTCAAAAGAAATGGTACAAACAGTTTCACGTGTAATTTATTAAGTTATTAACATTATAGCAAATGTTCGAACTGTTTGCCACCAGCATTAATACATGCACGACATCGCCTTAAAAATGATCGTTTTATTTGTCTTGCATATCTTCTGCTATTAATGTAATCAGCAGCCTGAGTGATATTTCGACGAAGCTCGTCCAATGTCACAATGTTTTTTGAGTAGACCCTGTTTTTAAGACAACCCCAATAGAAGAAGTCCAGGGGCTTCAAATCGGGTGAACGGGGTGGCCATAAGATAGGACCAAGTCGCCCGATCCAACGCCCTGGATACTCTTGATTTAAATATTCTCGCACAGGACGGGCATAATGTGCTGGGCAACCATCATTTTGGAACCACATGTTTTGAAGATCACTTAAGGGCACGTCGTTTAACAATTCTTGCAAGTCATTTTGTAAAAAGTTTAAATAACTATTGCCATCTAAGTTTCCTTGTAACTCAAAGGGCCCAATTACTTTTCCATTTAATATGCCGGTCCATAGGTTAACCTTGAATTGATATTGGGATTTGTCTTCTCTCATCAAGTGTGGATTTTCATTACTCCAACTATGTAGATTGTGAAGATTTAAATACCCATCTTTCTTGCACGTTGTTTCATCCGACCATAGAATTTTGTCTAGGAAGTGGGGATCTTCACTGTGCCTTTGCAGCATTACACGGCAAAATGTGACCCGTAGCGGATAGTCCCGCGGTAATAACGTCTGCACACGCCTGTAGTGATATGGGTGAAGCTTGTGACGTTTTAATATTCGATGTGCAGAACTTTTCGGGATTCCTGTAGCTTCTTCTATGGCACGTACCGAAGTAGTCGAGTCATTTTCTATCTCCTTGAGAACTTCTTCATCACGATCCAATCTAGGTCTTCCAGCGCTGCTCCTATTGGATGGCATACGACCCTCCGAAAACGCTTGATGCACATTAATAAACACTCGATAATCAGGATATCTTTGAGCATTTGGGTATCTTTCTGGATACAGTCTGCTAGCAGCGTTAGCATTACATCGGCATTCTCCATAGATTAAATGCATATTAGCGTATTCCTGTGGTGTGTACGGTTGCGGCATGTTAAACGCCAAACAGTCCAAAATGCGCCAGAACTCTAAATCACAAAACACACAATCGTAGTCCAAGATAATGCCAGGTCAGTTCAGTTTGCAGATCACTTCCAGTCCAAATAATGCCAGGTCAGTTAAGTTTGCAGGTCGATTCCAGTCCAAAAAGCCAAGCCAAAAGTCGATAGTATGTACGAGGGCCACGTAAGTTGAATTGGGTACGGTGCGCAGTAAACAAAGGAGCAGAGCGTACTGAACCGACTTGCTGAGAATAATAACAGCTTCTCTACCTGCCCTGTTGTTGTCTCTTTTTAACGTAAATATCTCTATCTATCTATCTCTCTCTAACATCTAAGGTATTAATGCCCCATTCTAATTCCTAGAAATTGTAACAGGAACCCATTTTAGGCATGTAGTAAAAGTGATTACTGACAATTACAATTTAAGGAATTTGTCCCCTGTTAAGAAATAATAGGCCCATATTTTTTTATAACTTGTTTTCCTAGAGTATTATACCATTTTGGAATATTGGTTAGTTGCGTCAATTTTTAAAAAAACTTGCCATACTAGTGTTCATACTTTTTTTTTACACCACGATAAGTTAAATTTGGTTAAAAGTAAAAGTCTTCAACAAATTTAGGGAATAAAATAAGTTTCATTAATTTTCGTGATAAAACAAGAGTTATTCTGGAGTTTTTAAGAATTGTGGTAGATAGCAGTACTATTCAGGTTGCCTATAAAAAAAAAAGAAAAAAATATTTAAAAAATTGTGGTCATGGTAGTGAAAAATATCATAAACGGTCTCAATTTCTGAAGAATTTCATTTTTTTTATATAACTTAAAATATAATTGGGATATATTTTTTTTCTTTTTTTACCCGATTAGTCCGGGGCAGGTCTATCCTCCGGTGTTGGCTTATCGTTGAATTTTGGGACATATATGTAAAATTTTTTTGGGAAATTGGTTTTATGAAGAAAGGTTTTCATTTCTATGGGCAGAACCGGTATCTAAAATATGACCACGCATTTCCGTTACAATCCATATAATGCCGAGCCTATTTAGAAAATGTGGGAAATAAATATATCAGAAAATATTTTATTACTACCATTTCGATAATGTATTTTCTGGATATTGTATACAATACCTAAACGGTACCAACGAAATATTAAATTAAAATTTATTATAACACCCCGGGTGATCAATGAATTGGGCAAAATATACCTGATTTATTGTTCAGACAGACTAAATCTATTTCGGGACAATTATTTTAGAAAAATATCACGAGGACTAAAGGAGCGTAGCGGAGCTCCTGCCTTAGCCTTCTGACCTAACTCATCCGAGTCAGGCTGCTCTGAGCTGAAATGTGTATAATACTATATTCCACACATCCTGTTCATTTTACGAATTATCTACAATTCCTAGGAATTCTATATAACAACGGATTTCATAGATTTCTAGTAACATATGTACTATAATAGGAACGATAATATATAAAAAACCTTAAAAAAAATAAATAAAAATACTTTCCATATTACAATTATTTATTGAAATTTTACACATCATGTGAATAACTCTGAATAAATATTCTCAATTTCTGACTGACCTGTATACATTTTAATAGTTGCCATTAAAGAAGACCTATCATGAATTTTTTTATAGTATAGTTTTTTATAGTAGTATAATCTTAGTTTTCGTCTCAAGTATTTCTTCTTTAGTACACTTTATTTTCACTTGCACGTCGTCATATTCACTGCTGACCTAAAAAACAAGAAAACTTTATGAAATCAGTATTTTTAGCATCGTACATAGTATTGCTCCGCTCATTAGGGTCGTAGCGTGATGTTGGACAGCCTTCCTGAGGAATTGGTTTTAAAAATGCAAAAACATATTTTCAAATCTGACTGGTATGGTTCCAGAGATTAGAGAATTAAACAAAAAAAAAGAAACAAATAACTCTTTTACGTTATAATGTCAGTACAAATTTACATCACTTAATAGGTAACACATAATACACCGGAGCGCAACTTCGTGAGCACGCATAAATGAAGCATCAAACAAGAAGCTTCATACTTAGTGTCGTAGTGACGGTTACCACACTACGACTGGCACTAAAGAGTTTAAATATGTTTGTGTTTTAAGCTATATAATACATTATGTAATGTAATTTTAGACAGTGGTAGAGCCACGCGGCAGATTTTGCTGTCGCACGGATTGGCCGGCTCAAACCGGGGTGGTACCACGACCTCACAGAATACCAGCGTGAAGTAGAGGTTTACCTCTGCGTTTCGCTTGGTGAGTGCAGGTGGCCGGAGGCCCTTTTTACTGGAAATGAGGTATTCCATCTTAGTGCTCACGGGTGACAACGCATCTGCATTTTGATTCGCAAACGAGGAAAGTTGTAGATGTCTATGGGCCGCAGCAACCACTTACCATCAGGTG